CTCTTTATATTGTCATTATATTATTATTATTAATTTATTATTAATTTATTTTTTATTATTATATTTATTATATTTATTATATTTATTGTATTTATTATATTTATTATATTTATTATATTTATTATTTTTATTATATTTATTATATTTATTATATTTATTATATTTATTAGGGTTTAGGGTTTAGGGTTTATGGGGTCGTTTGGGGTGTACATACACCGCAGAAACACAAAAAAAGAATCAAATCTATGTTTATAAAAACGAGAATAAATTAAATTTATATTTTTTCTTTTTATAAATAAAATAAATAAAATAAAATAAATAAAATAAATAAATAAAATAAAATAAAATAAAATAAATAAATATATTATTTCTGTTGCTTACATATTCTGGTGTACCATAAGAATGTTAAACCACCCCGCTGTAGGCTCATCCGCCGGCACTTCATAAACAACCTAAATAAAAAAAATAAAAAAAATAAAATAAAATAAATAAAATAAATAAAATAAAATAATTAATTTAATTATATTTAATTATAATAAATATATTATTATAAATTATTGTTGTTTGTATTGTTATACACTGCTATCAGCCTACTGCAGCAGCAGCAGCCGCAGAAAGAATAAATTAAATTAAAAAAAGTAATATAAAATAAGTAAAATAAAAACACAAAAAGTAAAACAAAATAAAATAAAAACAGAATAAAATAAAACAAAACAAAATAAAATAAAAACAGAATAAAATAAAACAAAACAAAACAAAATAAAACAAAATAGATCAAAACAAAACAAAACAAAAGATAAAATAAAATAAAATAAAATAAAATAAAATAAAATAAAATAAAATAAAATAAAATAAAATAAAATAAATCAAACAAAACAAAATAAAATAAAATAAAATAAATAAAATAAAGACAAGAGACAAACCTTTCCGCTGAGATAGGCTCGGTGTAGCCGTTCGTCTCGCACCCAACCCATGCCGTACACTGCCAGCTGCACGCAAACCCTAAACCCTAAACCCTCAACCCTCAACCCTAAACCCTAACCCCTAAACCCTAAACCCTAAACCCTAAGCAATAAACAAGAAACCCTAAAAAATAAACCCTAAACCCTAGACACAATAAACCCTAAACCCTAGACAAAAAACCATAAAAAATAAACAATAA